GGGGGGGGGGGGGGGGGGGGGACTGGCAGCTTAGATGAAGCTGAGGGACAACGAAGAATCAACTTAAGCCAAACCATGTCTGCTTGGCTTTCCCTCAACAGCACAGGCAGCTGGAAGACACTGGAGTTAGGGGCAGGGGCTCCTGTGGGTGCCTGGGTGGTGCGCCAGGCAGGAAGACACCCCAGGCTCTTCCCTGAGGTGTGGCCATCTTGCGTGCCCCTCGCTGGCCAGCCTGGCATGGGAGTAGGTTTTTGTAGAATAAGTACCTGCTGCCACCAGCCAAATCAAGGACCTCACAGCCAGCAGCTCCCAGTTTCCCTAGTAAGATTGGATCTTAGTGTCCAATCCTGTTAGAGTCCCACACCTTTGCTCCCCCCGAATTCTCCCATCGCATCTGGCCATACCCCACCCCCTGCCTTCCTAAGATTTTTTCTTTTAAATTCTCTCTGCCTCCAAGTTCCCCTATGCTCCGGTGAGCCCTGCCTCCTGTCCTTTACAGCCAAGCTGCTGAAAAGCCTTGACTCCATGCTTTGTGCCTTGCCATTTCTTTTCCTCTTACAACTCACTTGAATTCTTGTGGAATCTATGGCTGGTCAAGTCCCCCTGAAGCCCCAGGTGACTGACTTCCAACATTTTCACTAAAAAGATCTTGAACTGACTTTTGATGGATTGAAGACTCTGAGGTCGCGTTTGGCTCGCTGTGCCAGGGGGTGTGAGCTGCATAGCATGAAAGGTTTCACCTCCCCAGGACACCACCCCCTCTTCTGCCCCAGGAAACTCTTGCCACGCATTTATTCCATTTCTCTTGGTCTCTTTCCCCCAAGATTAGAACCCTCCTGAGGTAGCCATGACTTCGTCTCCATCACAGTGGCCAGGTAGCAGGTATTCCTGTTTTGGGCCACAGGTCCTCCTGGGCTTAGGCTGGACCCAGACCAGTAGCTAACAGCAACAGGAAGGTCGGGCCGGACACGAGCCCTGGGCACCGGGCCAGGGGCCAGCCAGGCTGCTGCTGGGACCGCGACCCTCCCCCTTTTCCCGCAGGAGTGGTCACCTACGCGGTAGGCGTGACGTGGGCCGCACCCGACGAGCTGGACATCATTGCCTCCCACCCGGCGGACCACCACTCCTTCTTCGTGGACGAGTTCGACAACCTCTACAAGTCCGTGCCCCAGATCCTCCAAAACATGTGTACAGAGTTCAATTCACATCCTCGGAACTGAACTCAGTGCAGGCGACACCCCCGGGCGCGGCATTTCGCACCAGCTCTGGGACCCCCTCCCCCGAGTTTTATGGGGCCCCTCAGGGCAGCGGGGCATGTGGGGCGAGCAAAATGGGTGCCTTGTTATTACTTTCTGCCAGTGTGGTTCTTTGTACTTCCAAATGTGGGGTTAGGATGGCCAGGCATTTGTAAAATGCTCCACAATGATCAGCCATTTCCAGGGGGCTGTCGCTTGACAGCTTGAGAATCATTTTCAAAATAAATGTTCAGAGGGGGCCGCACTCATGAGGGCTTTTCTGAGGTTTTTAAGGCTGTTGTTTGTTTGTTTGTTTTTTAACTTCGCATTAAAATTCTGTAACCCTCCACCTGCGCTTTTGTCTGATAATCATGCAGGAGTTGCTCAGGGAAAGGTCAGAGGGGCCACGTGCAGTGGCATGCTGGGCCAAGGGCCACACTGTGGGGGTGACACGGCCCTTGTGTGCGCCCCCAACCCGAGCACCTGCTGTGCACTTGCTCTTGCTCTCAGGTGCCCACACACCGCCCACAGGGGTGCAGGGAGAGGGAGGCAGCGCCAGACGTGCTCCCTCTTCACTGGTATCTGAGCCCCTGCTCCAGCAGCACAGACATTTCAGAGGTTGGAGGGGCCTAACGGGCCTGCAGCTGGCGGAAAGTGCTGAGTTAGGCTGCTGCGCACACTCAGTCCCAGCCACAGATCGGAAGCCATGCTGGGTTCCAGGTCCCTTGCCATGCAGTGAGGTCGGAGTCCCCAGGAAAGGAGCCTGCGGGCATACTGCTGCGTGGCCACAGGTGAGAACCACGGGCACTTCTGGGGGTCCCTGTTAGGGCTGCTTCCAGGGAGGGTCCCCAGTTACACCCGAGTAACGTCCAGGGAGGGTCCCCAGTAATACCCCAGTAACATCCAGGTTAGCATTTATCCTGGATTCTTCATTTGTTAACTAAGTGTTATCAGTATTTTCTTTAAAGTAAACCACGATGGGGGTTCATGAAACTCCCCTTTTTTTTTTCCAGCTTTTACCAAGAAGGACTCATCTATTAGGATGTAAAATGGCGAAAGGTAAAAAAGAATCATAGAGATGACTTCCTTGATGAATTGTTTTATAAAAAAATATATGTTGAACAATGCTGCTCTGAATGGCGGTAAAAAGTACCTTGCTAATACTTGGGGCCACAGTCACATTAAAAAACGAGTTGTGGCTGGACTATAGTGATGACACATGGGTGATTTGGTGATGGGAAACCCAAGGGGATTGCAAATGAGATGGAAAAATGCACAAAAATATGTAAAAATAAACTACCATAAAATTAAAAAAACAAACAAAAAAAATGAGTTGTGGGCCCTCCCTGGTGGTACAGCGGGTTAAAGCACAGCTCTAAGAAGCGAAAGCCACTTCTGCATGAGTTCGATCCCCACCCTGGACGTGACCCACATGGCGTGGCAGACCTCTCCTGGCCCGCCCGCTGCTCCCCTCAGCAGTGTACTTCGCCAGTCGGCCTGTTCTACACCCCACTCTGTCTCTGGTGAATTGTCTCACTGCCCCTGCTCCTCTGGCCTGTACCCCAGTTCTGTATGCACAAATAAATAAATCTTAAAAAAAAAAAAGAATTGTACTTAACTTGGTAACAAAATTTGAATTGATTCTATCATTCACTTGAAAGAATTTACACTGAATTTATGCTTAGTACGTGAAAAGTGTAATGCTAATTAGAAATATTAAGGCCTAAGGAGAAGAATCAGTAAAAAGCATCAGCAATTTCAAATTTATTAACCATAAAGTTTACTTTGAAGCCATCTGCACAACTATTTGTTCAGAATCCTCAAAATACAAAACCACCTTAAAAAAGGAACTGCCACATAAAGTTACCCGTGATGCACTATTAGTGTCACCAGTAAGTAAATATTCCTAAAAATAGTATATTTGATTCCTTTGGAGTTTTCTTCCACTCACAAAGTTGTCCCAGCATGGGGGGAAAAAAAATCTCTGTGTTTATCTTAGTGTTGTGGTTTTCAAGACGAATTGAACATCTTCCAGCCCCCTTATTTATGTGTAGTCAATAAATATTTGAGTGTGGACCACATAGGAGTAAAGACCAGAATCGAGGTGACTAGGGTGCTGGGCTCGTTAGAATTGTCTGTGACTGCTGGAGTCACTAGAGGTGGTGTCAGGAGTCACGGGGGTGGGGGAAACAGTGAGCTGTGCTCTGGTATGTTGCCATGAGAGAAGGTGACTGTGGTCAGGAGAAGATAGCAGAGACAGGGATGGAGGGCTGAGGTTGGGGTTGAAGGGACTGGGGGCTTGATGGAGGAAGGAGGAAGGTTTGTGAAGTCAAAAAGGAAGGCGCAGACCTCTCCCCATTCCAGGTCTGAAATACAGGGGTGACAGAGCACAGAGCTCCCACTCAGGAGATTGAACAAGTCAACTGGGTTCGAGGCAAGTGGGGGATCTTGGCAGGTCATGACAACAGAGAAGAGATTCCCCATGTGGGACTGGTGAGACCAGGGTTTGCTCAGAACAGTTTGGAGAAAAGCGTCTTGGTGATGAGGGGAGATGGGGATATAAATGCCCCTTTATTCAATCTAAATTGTGCCCAATACTGCCAGGAGGAACTAAAATCTTAACACTGGAAATGGAGTCTTATAGAAAGACGATATTAAACCCTCCAGCTGCAAAAAATGCAAACTCAGACCAGAAGATATTTGTGCAGCTCAAAGGGACAGAGCTGGGGCCCTCCCTGGTGGTGCAGCAGGTTAAAGCACAGCACTAAGAAGCTAAAGCCACTTCAGCATGAGTTCGATCCCCGGCCCTGAGGTGACCCACATGGTGTGGCAGACCTCTCCCGCCTTACCTGTTGCTCCCCTCAGCAGTGTACTTCGCTGATCTGCCTGTTCTGCTCCCCACTCTGTCCCTGGTGAAGCCTCTCATCACCCCTGTGCCTCTGGCCTGTACCCCAGTTCTGTATGAATAAATAAATCTTAACAAAAAAAAAGGTGGGGGGACGGAACTCAGCTTCCTGCCTTCCACTCTGTTGACGCACCAGCTTGTCTTCTTGAGGAGCCAGAATCTCCCATCCCTGTCCCACGGTGCATACCTGAGCTGCACATGGTTGGCAGGGAGAGGGGGGATGCTACCCCCCTCTGCAGAGCTCTCTGGATCCTGCAGTCTCCAGCGCCTACCTCCAAAGGCCAATGTCTTTCATCCCACTGTCTCAGCAGAAAGCTCTTCCATGTCCTCCTTTTTCTTCCAACCAAAACAAGCAGACAAGGAGCATCAGATCAGCTTCTCTGAATGCATATGTGTCTAAACTCTACTTAACTTTCCCACCTCTCAAAAGGTAGAATCCTTTGAAAGAGTTTCTTTGCCAAAAGTTTTATATCAAGGCTACAAGTTTCCAGCAGAGCTAACAGGGTTCAAATATTCCCTTTTACTCTGGACTCTTTAAACCCTTTGAACAGGACCAATCCTTTATGAAGCAAGTTTCCCTGCCATCGCAGGAGGCTGGCATGGGTTTATAAGGAAGACAATATTATCTCTGTGCGTGGAGTTTCTAAATAATAATGTTATTTTCAAGTTATAAGTTAAAGAAAGTTTTCCTTTAGGTTATTTTCAAGTTACAATTTAAAGTTTTCCTTTAGGTTACCGATACATGAATGCAGTGAAAATATGCTTGAAAGCATGAATTCAACTATTCTGGGGAGAGGCATTTTATTCAGCTAATGCCTTTAAGGAATCTTACAGGAAACCACACACAAATGAACAGTTAAAATCGTCTAATTACTAGCATGGGATTATGCATACCGAGCATGACAGCCGCTTGCAAACAACCTCTTGAGAAATGAAAAGGTAATAGCATCTAACAGTTAGCATTTGCTGCTTCACATGCATCAACTCACTTATCTCCCTGATTTGCTGAGAGAGGTATTATTAGTGTTCTCATTTTACAGATCATGCCACCATGGCATGACAATGTCTATTAAACCCAGGCAATTGGACTCCAGAGTCTGTGTACTTAACCTCTGCTTCTTATAATAGTAGCACATGAAATGATCAAAGGGCTGCATCGGGGGTCCTCTCGTAAGCTCGACAATTTAAAATACACATATAATTCTGAAAAGTATACTCTGAGGAACTATTAAATGTGTGAAGTGAAGAGTCTGTTAAATGTCCAATGAAAACTGCACTTCGCCCCTTCAGTGCTGCAGACTCTCTGGACAGTCATTCTGACCTCACCGAGAAGGGATGATTTTAATCTGCAGTCCATAGTTCCTGGGTTACCTCCTCTTGTTAAACTCCTATTCAGCCTTCCAGGCCCCGTCCAATTGCCCCTACCTCTTTGGAGTGTGGCCTGACCTACTCACACAGTAGCTTTCTGGAGACACAATCAATATTTTGGTGTCCTAATTAGCCCCTTTCACTAAGGCGAATACACATCAAGGACAAGAAATAAAGGGGATGAGAACTTAAATCTAGGACACTTGACAGTGCCAGTCTCTAATATGATGACACAGGAAGAGGCAGAGAGAGAAGTGGGATATGATGACAAGAGAAAGAGAGCATCACATTTCTTCCAGATTGTGCTACTCTTTTGAATGACTTTCTAAGGTTCATTACAACATGTGACAGTCAGTTTTTCTAGAACTAGAATCTTTAGGCATCTACCCACAGGGCAATTCTATTTTTCACCTTCTGTTTCTCATTCCTTTGCAGAAATGAAACCCCCTTTCCTGTTTACTTTCCTGAGTTTCATTCAGCAAACAAGTTTGAAGCCTCTAATATTGCTAGTTGATTTTATTGTTATTTTGGCAGGCACTGGGGTATGATGAGTGAATGCTGCTCCCTGTCTGAGGAACTTGGAGGCTGGTGAGGGGGGAGACATAACCATATAACCTCTGACTAGTAAGACAGGGGACAGCCAAGCCTGGGAAGACCTCTTGGGCTATATTTTCTGGGGAGTGTGTGTTTTAACCAGAAGAAAAATGGTAGCAAAAGCACCCCAGTAGAGGGAATGAGAAGAGCAAATGAAGGAGGCATGAAATACAGTGAGGATAACCACAAAGCGAGGGCAGGGCTGTCAGGAGGTAGAGCTAGGAAGAGAGGCAGGGCCAGGATGGGACGCTTGTGGGTTAAAATTCTCTGTTGCAGACCATGGAAATGCAATTCAAAGTAGCTCATGCAATGGGAGACATTTGGAGAAGGAAACTGGAATAACACATGGACTCCAGTCTGGGAGACAGCAGAGCCTCAGAAAGGGAAGGTAGGACAGACAGGCAGGAGGGCCAGGCAAGCCCACTTTCTTCTCGAGAAGGATGTTCATCTGGAATTCCTGAGCAGGAGAGAGGGAACACAGTGAAACTTCCTGCCCATTAAAGACTGACCTGATGATGCAGGCCACTGGCACACGAAGCTGATGAGGCTGGTCAGGGAGCGCCTCAGACATTCCTCTAGTGTATCACCTGCAATGAAGTTCCCTGGAGCAGCCAGTTGTCTGGGGTGCAGGTCCACACACCCCCGTGCTTGGAAAACCATTTGCAGACTGAACACTGGTCTCCCAGTAAAACATTTCTGTTTTGAGTTGAAGCTTTACCCAAGAAAACCAAGAACTTCGCCTCTTCTAAGACTCCCTTGCACTTCTTTTGGACTTAGTGAGGGTGAGGGTGTTACTTTTGTATAGGGCTGTTAGCCGATAGGCAATTGAAAGCTGGTCAGAAGTGAAGGAGATGAAGGAGTTGAAGTGTTATCTCTGGGTCCACTTCTGTTCTTAGTAGGAGGACTTGACCGAGAAGAAATGTATAATTTAAACAACATTCCACATGGAAAACAAATAAGGTTAAAAGACCATACTCACAACGCATAATTATAAAAGGCTGTTTCTCCCCTTCTTTTTTAAGTGTCCTCTAATTGAAAAACACTGAGCTTCCCTCAGCCTATGACGTAGCACTCAACCCCGCCTGTAGGCAATCAGCTGCCCAAGTAAGCAAATAATAAAGGTGGCTTGCAGCTGAGACTTTCTTATGAAAAACACAATTCCAGCTCAATGGCTCCTTTCTGTGACTCCTCTAGTTTCACACTTGGTTGAGGTGAGCAGGGTGTGTTCAGGTTAAATGCAAATTGGAATCTGGGTTCTCAACAAAGAGCCTTTACATGGCTCCCCAGCGCACAGAAACCAGAAGGGTCTGGAAGCCATGGGAACCATGCAAACATCAACACAAGATCCAAAATCAATGCAATTGTTGGACTAACAGCCCCAGGGCATCGGAAACCTGTA